TCTGCTCTATTGAAGCAGCCAGAGAAAATGTAATGTATTCATCACTGCTGTTTGAAGAAGAATTAAGGTACAGTATGTTCCCATTACACTCCTGTCTAATGAGTGTTTGCTGCAGTTGTCATTAACGTCTGTGAAAAGCACACTATGGACATATCTGAGGATTTCTTTCTTGTTTTTGGTGTACACAGTTAAGCAACAGAAACACTGATGCACTACAAACTTATATTTCTCACAAACCATTTACACCCTCTAACCACTCAGATTAAAACTTACTTATTGCCTGCGTCACACACTCTGGCCTTTTTCAGAGGCAGGGTTTTATAGAATGGAAATATAACGTAAGCATACATTTAAACTGTAGTTGCTGTTACTGTGGTAGCCACAGGTGTTGCCAGATCACAAAAATGATTCCAATTTTAAAGCTGGATGTTTGTGTTTCCTTTTCTTTCGTATTTAATATTTTCTTATTATTGTGACTGAAACATAAACAAGAAAAATTTAATAAGATAGAGGAACAGGATAATAGCAAAAACAAAAAGCTATTTTTTTAACTACCATGTGGAAGACAACCTCACCTTTTTCTCTTGTGTCCCATATCTGATAATGATATCATAACCCCGTAGGACGCCATTTATCTTGTCATCTGGAGGAGGCTTCCACTTGATCACCAGCCACGACTCGTTCAGCTGTACAGTGACATTTCGGGGATACACTGATGGCACTGAAAAATATAACAATAAAAAGTGAAACAGGGATTAACAGAATTAAGAGTCAGAACACTTGATATAAAAAAAGAAAATGAAAGAAGACTGTCCTTCCATTGAATTATTTGATTACAGTTTGGTATGCGGTCACTTCCGGACAAAGCGTATCAAGTCTTTCAACTAAAATATCCCCTGCGGTGGCTTTAGGAAGGAAATTGAAAGCAGCTCCACCCAAAAAGAACTTTGTGTTTTCTCAGTGACGCCACTCCTATTTCCTATGTGACCCTTCGGGGAAACAACAAAGATTTAGTGGATAGGACATTTTTCTGAAGGGGAATTGCTGTGGGCAGAGCAGGTAGTTGTGCAACATTTGAAAATTCCAGTTATTTCATGCTGCTACTGCATGGAGGCTCACTTAAAGCACATTCTGGACAGGGTAGTAGTCGGATAATTACATAGTCCTGCTAACCTAAAACCTAAACATGAATGATGAGAAGAAGGCAGGGACATAACAACGAGGTTCTGTAAAGCCAATAGACAGGGTAGTTTGTAAGACAAATACAGATTTAAGCTTCCTAATTAAAACAGCCAGTATTGTTTTATGTTATATGTTTTATTTAATTTCATTTTGGATCATCCCCTTTTGCAATTTCCCCACAAATCTGCTAGTGTATGTCTGTTACGATTCTCAGTCATCCAGGTCATGGTTATTCTCCTAGTTCAATCATAACAAATGGACTTGCTTGAGTTTCTTGAAGACGTTTCGCTTCTCATCCAAGAAGGCTTCATCAGTTCTGACTGACTAGTTGGGAGTTCCAGATACTTATATCCTTAAAGAGCCATTAACCCTTGACTTTTGGTTTCAGCTGGGGTTTTGTTGCTTCTCTCCCTTGTTACGCGAGTTGTTAGTACTCGCCCTGCCACAATGGGGTTCGTTACAGCAACTACCAACAAAATGAAACCTGCAGATATATTCATGGTTTCTTATTAACACACCTCCTTCTGTGGTGTTGGTCTGGATCCACATGCTGAAAGGAGAGGCCCCCACCTCATTGCTGCAGGAAACACTCAGGTTGTACCACGTCATAGCCTGCAACCCGGAGATGTCACAATAAAAAGGCGGTGCCGTGACGTTGATGAATCTGGTGGTCATCACCTCCCCCTTCCTCCGACTCACCTCCTTGAGCTTAGACGAGACAGAGACCACATGATCGATTCTGAAGACATTAAACAACAGCTCTGTTTTGTTCAGACGTGACACTTACCCTGACATGGCATCTGGTAAGTGGAGAGAAGCCATCGTGTCCAGGGCTCCAGCTCAACGTCAACTTATTAGACTGTCTCGCTTTAACAGTAACATCAGACACAGGACTGGGAAGAACTGCAAAACACCATAAAAGCCCTTATTAACTTCCAAACATGGAGTCGGCTTGCAGAGCATGAAAATCTCATGGAATGTTGTTGGGACCTCCACAGTCCCTAAGGGATCTAACATTACCTTTGATGTTGACATTTGCTTCTCTGGATGTGGTGACACCCTTCGAGTTGTGAGCTTCACAGCTGAACTGAGTGTATCTGTCCACACCTGCAATTGAAACATTGGAGGAGACAATGTGGCCGTGAATTGAAAACAACCAATCCTCAAGGTCATGATAGCGCTGAATATTTTGAGAAATTAACCTCGACTCAGATGTTATTTTACTTCAATGTTGAGAAAAAGGGTGCAAATCAAGGAGACAGAGGACACACTGTCACCGTTCTCTACATTTTGTACAAACTAGTTGATTTCTCTCTGTGTCAAAGTTGAATACAGGGCATAACTGCCATGTCAACCTCTATGAAGAAGTGAGAGCAAAGCCAGGCTGGAAATGACAGAAGAAACACATTTCGGGATGACTCACTCCTTTATTATAACCAAAAAGTTCACACGGCAGGGCCTCATGCAGAAAGCTCAAAGAGAGCCTCTCCAATATGATGTACTGTGGCAACAATCCTTTTGCTGGGTCTCTTTTCCTGGATGCACAATTTACGTCTTTCAACAGCCACAGATCTGCCCAGTTAGAATAGGACTGCGACATCTGCGAAATAATGTCCCTTTTGTGCTCTGTTTTCCAGCGTCTCCGTCTCCGAAACATTTCCACAAAGCTAATCACAGAACAGTCAGTGAGAGACGACTGGAACCAACTTGTGTTTACGTTGTGCAGAATATCACAACCTCAACAGTTTGCCTTCCTCTGCTCAGGAGAACTAGGTTAGAGTGATTTACTTTTCACCCAAACAATGACTATAGTATGTCTGTTTGCACAAAGACAGAGAGCCTTAGTCAGGTTGGCTTGAATCATCAATCTAAGTTACAGTAGCTTTGTTTGCACAAAGGTAGAAAGTTTTACATAGGCCTGATTGACTCATCAATATAAGCTGCATTCACATGAAAAAAGATGAACTTTGGACAACACGACAAGAAAGTTCACAAGAAAGAGAAATTTGCATATACGGCAGTTCATTGCTATCCAAGCTGTGCAAATGTAACTACCACATGCCTGAGTGCAAACTGCATAGCAAACAGATGTGGTTGGAACAAAGTGGGAACTGAGCTGAACGAGGCTAAATACCTCTAAGAGTATGTTAAGGCAACATGAAAATAAGTGTTGGCATGCATTTAGCAGTATTTTTGGTAAAACAATGCATGTTCACAAAATACTGAGCTATTATATATGACACCAGAGCAGTGGGTTATGCCTCAGGAGTGGTTTTATAAAATAACATCTACAAAAGAATACCTATTGAAGGTCACACAGAAAGAATAATCTCTGGGTGTCAAAGGTTCAATAAACACTCTCAAAAAAGAGAAATGAACCAAGGGCAACAACTGTCATTTCTGCTTTCACTCTAATTGGCAAAGAAATCAAAACACAAAAACAACAACATGGTAGAAAAACAAAATGTGTTGACTCCTCAAACGCAACGGGGATTCAGACTTGCGAGTGGGTTGGAACAACCAAAATGTACCACGTGGAAGTTCTGCAGGATGGATCCAGCACTCTCTAATTATCAGGTTTTGGGGTCACTCCAGCTCACAGAGCTGCCTGGGATGTCTGTTCTTTTTCCATTTTCTACTCAGGGAGTAAATATAGCAAATGAAGTACTCCATCAGGTTATTATGAAGCCAAACCTGGATCCACCTTGGCACCGTATTCTGGACTTTATGCTGTTTCTTGCTGCTGAGCCAGATTAAATAATGAAACACATGCAAACAGTTTTCCATATCCCAAAATAAAGAAGCAATATGATTTAAAAGAGCGTGCTAATCACGTTCATGCAATGCAACCAACAATGACTTACTACTGCAACAAAAGTACTGTAATAATATCATGGAGTTGCACTTTTAAATGAGCAAGGGGGGCGAGACTCATACAATGCATGAGGTGAGCATGCAGAGAAGTGGGTTTACAGCGTTCTGTTGTGCCAACACTTGGTCCTGCACAGAGCTCTGGTAGGCTGCAGTCTGCCAGCCTCTGTGTCCAGCCCCTCCCTGCTCAGTAGTGGGCCGTCCTCTGAATGAGGTCTTTGTCCCCAGAGCAAACCCCCGAACAGAGTCCCCGTACAGCCCCCCATCCCTCTACTGCCAGGGCCCTTGCACATGTTGGACCAAAGCACAGCTCTGAACCTTTAACCCCCTCAGCTTCTGGCTTTATCACTTTATCACCACTCACTGTCTATGGCAGGAGCACTTAGCCTGCGGCGAACTGAAAATGAAGGGATAGAACACACAGAGCAAAGGTTATGCTTCTAATAACAACTGTATGTGTTCAAGAAGAGGGTCACTGAGGCCATAATGGAAGAATCCACCAAAGGAAAGTTTCCAGTAAAAGAAAACATTGCGGCAATTCTTCTATTTTTTATTTTTTATTTTTTTAAATCTAGTATTTGTCTAAGTATAGCATGAATAGAAACTCAGACCTGACGTGGTCCTTTTACTGCTTTTTTGGAAGCTAAATGCTCAGAATTCTCTGGTTCAAGCTTCTCCGATATGAGAATTTGGTAGTTTTCTTATGCTTCTAAGTGATTAAAGTCATATCTTTCAGTTTTGAGCTACTCTGATACAGAAAGTGATTTGAATATGTCAACTTTGGGAATTTATGTAGGACATTTTCTAACTAAGCAACATTTCATAGAATAAATAATAGACTTTGAAGGGGTCATGCACATCGAGAATTCTTCTAGACAAGTGCATAGCATGAAACATGCATAGCGAAAAGAAAGGTGCACTCCCACACATTGTACTATTGCAATAAACTTGATTAGAAAAACCATGTTTCAGTGCTTAGATCTTTATCCAGTAAAAATTATGAATGATTTTTTTTTATTATTATAGTTTATTCCAAGGACAGTGTGTGGGAGTTCTCTGTATCTGCATGAACAAAAAATGAAAATTTCAGTACATTATAGCCATTTTGTAAAGATATATAAATAGATGGATCCTTCTTTTCTCAATTTAAGTATCCAAATACTCACAAACATCTCACATACTACGAGTAAAAAAGTGCTGGAAAGTAGGAATATAAAGGTGTAAATGAGCTATATGGTCTATAAAGGGTCCTTGAATGCTAGTAGATCCAGGACTTAATGGATTAGAGTAACAGTTCGACATTTTGCTAACTTTTGCTGCTTTTGCTCTACATCCTTGAATTAAATTTGAGGCTTCAACCAGTTGCTGCTTGGCTTAGCTGAGTATTTGGGCTAAAAACATGAAATACTAAGAATTACTAATTAAAAAGTAGTTTACTTAGTCCATACAAAAACTTAAGTGCAGCGTGCCCAGTGGCCTAATAATTCCTTCTGCCCCTCACTTATTGTCTTTCTTAATTGTTAAAAAAGGCAAAGGCTAATCTTCAATCTTTCTGCATTTAACAGTTGCAGTGTGACCTAAATGTTCAGTCCAAGATAAGCTTACTAGCTGCATATTTGCTATAATAAGCACATGTTGAACATGTTGTATAAGCCAGCATGTTGAACTATTGCTTTAATGAATAATGGCTTTACTGAGGCTTACAGAAAGTGTTGCATTTCGACATTCAGCTCTTTCTCGAGATTTGCATCATGTTCACTGCACAGCAAGCAGAGCGGAGTCACAAAAAGCACTGACCATACGTGAATGACCCATGTTAACCACTGAACAGCGGAGAGAGGTTGGACACCATGACAAATCTCACTGCGGTAAGCAGGGAACAGATGCTGAGGCAGCAGAGACGAGGCAGAATAGAAACCACGAACAAAGCGATGATAGCTGAGTCGCACTTTGCAACCGTCAAAACGGCAAATTTGTCTTTTATCTGTGGTGATGAATGTTTCCATTTCCAGTCACACAAGGAAGTTAATCAAGTTAAAACCAATTAACTGGTTTAATAAGATGCAGCACTCATGTTTCTTCTACTGCATTCATTTTACGGCAGTTTATACAAGCCAGAAACTGTTCCAGTAAAAGTTTCTTTTACTTTTCTTTTAGAACTATAACCCACAAGTTTGATCAAAAAGCACTTTCAGTAAATCCACACCGATGTTAAAGAAGCTCTTTGATATGAAACAAAGTAGTTTTACCTCAGGAAATGACTTCTTTAGCTCCTCTAACACAAGTCAAACTGACGAGAGAACAAAGTATGAGTGTGATAAATCACATCTTCAGCTTCTTTCTGTCTGATTCAAGGAGTCATTTAGACATACAGTCATCCTCAGATTTATTCATACCCTTCCGTTAAAGAAAAGCGAAAATTCACAATAGTCACTCAAATAACTCGAAAATGAAAAAAGTCACAATAAATAAAAAATGTACTAAATTTTAATTAAGTGAAATAAACCATTGCTTTTGAATTGTGGTTGAAAAGAATAGTTTAAAACAAACAAACAAAACTGTCCTGGACAAATTAGAGCACTTTGCTGATGAGCAGTGAGCCAAAATCAACATACCTGTCAACAGGTGCAGAAGTCTGATTGAGAGTTACAGAAAACACTTGATTGCAGTGATTGGCTCAAAGGGTTGTTCAACAAAATATTAGTTTACAGGTCCCATCATGCTTGTTTGCTTGTTTTTTTGTGGTTTTATATTTCTGAAATATATATTTCTGTTGAACCACTACTCAAAAGCAATGTCATGATTTTCATGATTTTTTAATTTATTATTACTTATGTAAATTCCAACTTATTTTAGTGACAGCTGTTTTTTTCCTTCTCTAATGGGAGGGTATGAATACATTTGAGGATGACTGTATGAAGAGTCACAGAGACACAGACGATGTGCGACAAGAACAGCAAGAAATGACACGTTCTTCATCTGAAGAGGAACAGGCAGAGACAAGGACCCGTGGCAGGTCATAGTGAAACACGGATGTTCTCTGTTCGTGTGAGGAACAGAGAGGGATGATAAAGGTCGGACTGTGTGAACGGTGTCTCACCTGCCACGGAGAAGCTGCTGGGAGAGTTATGAAAGTCACTGTCAGGTAATCCATCACGAAGCCAGCGGATCTGAACCGGGTCCGGAGGTCCCACTGCCTCACATGATAGCGTGAACGGAGTGTTTCCTGTTACGTTCTTATCCTCTGGTTGCTGGAGAAATGTTGGTAGACCTAAAGACAGATGCAAGAAGCTTGAAAGAATTGCAAAATGTGTGAAATAAAAAAGCTCCCACTGCCAGTATCATATCAAAACTCACCTTCTACCTCTATTACAATTCGCAGAGATTCAACTATCATGTTGCTGATGCTCAGTCTGCAGCGATACTCTCCAGCATCCGCTCTCTGCACAGGGTTAATGCTGTGAAGCAACACAAAAGACCATATAATCCTGTGTAATCATCAACTTGTCACATTTCAGCTTCATGTGTTACGTACATCACGGTGGAGAGGAGAGTCGTGACCCCGTCTGTGATGGTGCGCAGCTCGTTGACCACCACCTGGTTTTTTTCGGCCAGGTCTTGACCGTTTTTCATCCAGATGATGATGGGTTCCAGTCTGGCATCGGGGATATCGATGGAGCAGTTAAATTTAGCTTCGTGGCCCTCTGACAGCTGGATGCTACCTATGGTGGGTTTGAAGTGCAGCCGCCTGAGCTGGTCTGGGGTCAGGTAATACCGGGAAACTTGGCGTGGTATCACAAGAGGCTCTGAGGTTCTGGTTGGACGGCGAAAGCGGCCCTGAGAATGTTGAGCTGAAAGAGATGTTCAACTGAGTGATTAGCAGTAAGAAAATATGGTTTGATCAGATACAAAAGACCATTAACCACACTAAGTCTAGTATCGTCAAGTCATCGTTATTCATAAAGCACTTTTAACCCTATTTAGAACTTTTAGGGTCTTTTGGACCCCAGGCCATTTGGTTTAGGTGACAGGTATTGTTTTTTTTTATTTTTGAAGATTTTTTTTTAAATATAAAAAAGAGGGACATTTTTCATGCATTTGGAACCAAAAATACATACATAGATTTAACATAGTATAAAAGTCTATAATGAATACCAACAAATATTTTGCACCAATGGACCCCGAAAGACCTTCTACGTATGGCAACATGAAAGTCCTGAATAGAGCTAAAGAAAAAGCAGCTGAGCCAAAAAGCTTTCAAGCAGAACAATAAGATTGGCACAATGAGTTAACCTAAATATTAAGGTTAAGACCCTTGTTATGTGGTATTGAGGATGTGAAACTACCTGACCGATTTAAATATAAAGCACTAAAATGACATAAACTAACAATTGTACCAAAATAAAATAAATCTAAGATAACATTCAAAGTGAAGGAAGTAGACATATGTTAGCATTAAAAGGTAGGAAAAAAGTTCTATTTCATTTCAGAAAATGCAAAATTATCATCACAATTATTCAGAGGGAAAGAAGATTTTTGTAAAAATGAAAACAACAACAACAATAATAATAAAGTCCACTGAATGTTTTCAGATTCTTCTTAGCAATTGTGATTTATGGTTCTTAACCAGATGGGCATTTTAATTGTTCATCCCTCTGTTCACAACCACAGTATGCCACGTTTTATGATTACAAAAAAAACTACACAAGTTACACGCAGGTACAATGAAAACTAAAATCCCTTCTTTAGAATGCTCTGAAGACTTTCTGTGAGTTCAGAAACTATTCCTTTAAGTTTTCCAGCCACTGTAAGACGGGTATTTAAATCCCTTCCAGCTGCAGCCCAGCATGCAGAGAGCTGCTGGCTGGTACCAAACCGAGAGCAGTTGGAGAGACGTGAAGTTAACGCAGGAAAAAAAACAAAAAAAAACAAACACAAACCTCAGAGAAAGCAAACAACTTACCGCTGACCGGATTCCCCGCGAGTACGGCTATAGTGACTGCAGAGAGAAAAGCTCCAAACCAGCCCGGAGGTGACTTGTTGGCCATGACCCGGTGTGAAGTCTCCAAAGTGCAGCTCTCAAACGGCTTTAGATCGATCGTGGCTGATCGGACGGTTCAGCTGCGGTAGTATCCAACATCACCCACAGGAGAGGCTTCGGCACAGCTGAGGAGTTGTTGACCAAAGAGCACATTGAGCTGGAGAGGGAGGGAGAAAAAGAAAAGTTTGGCACGTCAGAGGAGGGATCCCATGAAGGCGGGCCAGAGAGTAGAAAAACTTCAGAACAACCCAAACACAACAAAAAGGTGTGACTGCAGATATTCAGCAAAATGATTCGATATTTTAAACCAGTTTAGAAGCGTTTATTTATTTTTATTAACATTATTATTTTAATGTTAACATTTCCAAATGATGTATTTTATTTTCTCTCCTTTTTTTTAAAAGACATAGTTACAGTGGTGATCTTATAATTACTATATACATATACAGATTAGCACATAGGTCGAGCTCTTTCATTTTTTTCAAGATATCAAAAAAAAAAAAAAAATCTGTCCAACTCCTCCACCACGTGGTCACATATGGCTACTGAGCTTTCCATACCCAAGGGAAGCTACTGTTTTTTTATGACCTAAAAACTTAGAAAATAGTCATCTAACGTTTGTCAATTGTGCAATAAAAGTTTTTTAAAGGAGTTTAACTGGTTATAAATCTGCCACCATTAAGTTAATTCACACCCTAGTCAGGTGTGCCTATAAAAGACAATGATCAGCTCGTGTGACCCAGTTCACAGAAACTCCTTTGAGCAATAGGCATAAAAGGCCATCCTAAAATGCAACAACAAGATGCCACAAATGAGGAAAAACAAGCAGTTGGATGTTAGAGACACTTGAGTCCACCCTTAGTCGTCTAAGAAACAGTTTCAGACAGCATGTTACAGCAGGCATTCTGCCACAGCATGCTCTGGATGGACGCGTCCGACAAGGCGATCCTGTTTCCTAAAAAATGTCCACCAACTTAACTGAGCCCTTTAGGAAAAGTGGGACAAAGTTTCACAAGCAGCATCGACAACCTCATTAACTTTATGCCTCCTAGACGTGTCGCTTGTCCTCCAGTACTTGACTAAATCATGGTGTTCATCAGTTGTAGAGGGCTGAAACAACAAATACTTATTCCCCTGTGTTAAAAAGAATGGAGGGAATTTAATAAAATGTTACATGCTGTGTTTTTCTATTTGTTTTGTATAGATGAGCTGATCATGGAATTTTAGATATTCAAATCCATCTTTGGACCCCTTTAAAGATTTGTCCATTTCACTCAGCCACTTAAATGCTGAGATTCACAGTTCCATCTGACAAAATAATCCTTCAAAGTCCACTAAGTAGCTGTTCCTCAACATTCTCCTGCAGATTTCTGTTCGTTGTCGTCTACAGCAGGTGTTTTTTTTTTTTTCTCACAGCAGGGACAGAAACACAGGTGGAATGATTAAATATAGCTACTCTGAATATCTAGGTTCACTCTAACTTTTAAACAATGAACAGCCATCATGAATGTTATTGGTTACACTTGTGCTTTTTCTATGAAAAACAATCAGCACATCTCCAGTGAAGAAGACCTCTTCAGTGGGTTAAAGGGGTATCAGATAAACACATCCAGTTACCAGACCTCCATTGTATCTATTGGAGTTAAGAGTTCACAAAATAATACATAGTTAAACTCTCTGCTGAAGAAAAAATCCAACAGTGCAGTCTAACCCGACAGTGCCAACATGAGAGATGACAAACTTTGAAATCTAGCAGGATTCTTGGTTTCTTTCGTGCAGAATTAAGAGTTTCACATTTGTCTTTTTCAGGTGAGCTCTCCCTCCTCTTTCAGCTGATGGTTCTGATGTGGCAGGGCCGCCAGCCTCGCTCCTGTGGGGGATCCTTTTTTATTGGATCCGAAGTTGCTCTTCATTGCATTTTCTGAGCAGCAGGCCTTCATGCGATAAACGCTGGCCTTGCTCTTACAGCAGCCCATGGCACTCATGAGCTGATACGCGTCCTTTCTGAAAGCCTTGGTGAAGATGGCGTAAAGGAAGGGATTGGCACATGAGTTGATGGGAAAGAAAAGGACCAGCAGAATCTTAGAGTTGGTAACGGTGATGAGGGGAACTTTGAAGGCAGCAGAGATGGCAAAGAAGGAGATGGGCGCCATGCAGAGAAAATCTGTGAAGATGAGCACGGCCATGCGCTTTGCAATCCTGGTGTCGGCGCTTCTTCTCGGGAACTCTGGGTTCTTCACAGCCAGGTAGATCAGCACATAGCAAACACACACAACGATGAAGGCGCCCACGTTGAAGAGCAGGATTATTATGATGAAGGCCTGAGCCAGAGGAGTCTCTATGTCCATGGGTAGGCACATGCTGACTTTGGTGTAACTGCTCACACCAACCAGGGGCAGCATCCCCATCCCTAAACAGATGAGCCAACCGGCCGCCATTATAGCCGCTGCATGTGTAAGAGCCAGGCGGCGCTCCACCTGCAGAGCGTTGGTTATGGTGTGCCAGCGCTCCAGAGTGATGGTGGAAAGTGTGTAGACTGACAACTCCCCACCAAACACAGACAGAAAGCCTGCAGCGCTACAGCCGGGCCCTGTCTGCCATTCAATAGCATGTTGACTGTAGTGGCCGCGAGTTCGCAAGTCTACTGTAGCTATGCTCAGAAGGTAAACCCCGATGCAGAGGTCAGCAAAAGCGAGGTGGCACATGAGGAAGCGAGGCACCGTCAGCTTGTTCCGGCTGGTAAAGAAAACCAGCAGCACTGTCAGGTTGCCTGTGATCGCCAGGATATTGATGAACCAAATGGCGACTCTGAGGAAACTGAAACCTGCAATGTCCTCACAGGGATTGAAAGCATCTTCTTCAGGTGTGCAAACTAATGTTGGTTGGGTCTGACAGAAGTCCAGTTCTGGATAATGAAAATTCAGATCTCCGAAGCCGTCGTCCTCCACAAACAGGTCAACTTCTGGAAAAAATGGCATGTTCACAAGTAGAGTTGTGTCTGCTGAGCCTCCAATCACCTGCTGAGCCCTGTTTTTGAAAGAGAAGGAAAAGGAGAGGACATTGTTCTGGTTAGCTGAGCTTCAACTAAAGAATTCAGAATAGATAAATGTAAAGATCTGTTCAAGGTAGAATCTGGATAAAGATTTCTGATATTTAGCTTTTGCTCCCACTGCCATCTTTGTCTTATCACCTTGTCTTTGTCACCTTCCCTTTCCCCTGTCCTGAGCATGCACAGGTGTGCACAGGACATATTGGAATAGTGTTGTGGGGATCAGTTCAAGACTCTTTGTTTCTATCGCATTCACAGAGGCAGGGCTGTGTATGAACAACAATTTTATTTTATTTTTTTGAGGACACACAGAAGTGAGGCGACATTCACTGAATTTCATAAGAAGTGTGTTGGAATGGTATCGCTGACTCTACCATTAAGATAAGATCTTTGTTAGGTAAACTAAGCAAAACATTTTTTTTTTTCCCAAGATGGGGTCAATGAAATCCCCCATGAAATGCTGAAACTAAACACAAATTTTTTAATTAAGTGAAGTTTAACCAAAACAAATGTTTTACCTTGCTGGTGGATCACCACAAGACATAGAGCCATTATTCCATGCAGGATTAATTGGAAAGTCCCTGGAGAAACAGAAGAACATGATTATTCACTCACTGAAGCTTGAAACACATTCAAACACCTGTGTATTATTATACTGCATTTCTCATCCGGTGTTATTTAATAGGCAAGTATTCCGAATTGGATTCTGTTTTTTGTATACTTCTACAGTAATGAGTGAAAACTGGAGCAGCTGTGGTGCAGAGCTTACTGAGATAATCCATGAATAAATCCAACCTTGATTAGCCTTTAAAATGCACCTAAATCACCTGTTGGTGTTCCAGCTCAGCAGTGCGCAGCAGTGACTGTTGTAGGTGAGATGAGCCTTTCGTAGGCTCCACAGGCCCTGCAGAGGAGGCAGACTCTTCAAGGCATATGCTGACTGAGCAAACAACTCCAGAACCGACTCCAGTCCCTGTGATGGTAACTTTGTGAGAGCTGTTGCAGAGACATCCCTGTGAAATAACACAGACAACCATGTAATGTAAAGGTCTTTTTGTGGCCATTGTCCTGGTTGTACACTTTCAGGAGGCTTAAAAAATCACTTACAAAACTCCAGGACCCGTGGCTCCTTTAAAAGCATCCATGTGAAGCACTCTGAGGTTTCGATTATTCTTCAAAACTCTTAAAAATAACAGAATGCAGTGTTAAGGAGGAATTTTATTGCTGTGGGAGCTAAAATTAAACAGAAGTCATTTTTTAAAAATGTGGCAAAATACAGCTTATTTATCTTTGTCCCATTGAAGGCATGCTCGTGTATTTCTCTTATGTCGTTGTTGTACAGGTTCCTGTAAATGCAAGTCACAAAATGTGAATTTTTAAAGGTCAAAGAGAGCTTTCTTGCCATTTGAAAAATATTTATTCAACAAACAAAGTGACAGAGTAAAGCTGTGCAGCAACACTTACATTTTAACATACTCTTTTGTCACTCCGGCGAAAGCATTGGGAGGTATTTCTTGTAGATAAAGGTTGTCATATATCTCCCTGCAACAGTAGTACAGTTAAAACAAGAACAAACTAAACTCATACACTTTTAAGTGCCATAAAGTGCTCTGTTGCAATGCCATCTGAAGTGTGGTAATGACTCACACTTCAACAACAGAAATACTTACAAGATAAACTCTGATTCAAGAGAATTGATTGATGTAATACCAGGAAAAACCGTTATGCCAGTATTTGAGATGCTTCTGTCAAAAAAGAGGAAAACGTGTCATTTTGGAATATTTATGAGGACTTTTAATATAAACCTAAGGAGGGGAAACAGAAAAACTGTTATAAGTTAAAGTGCAGGCTAATATTAATGACTCAGACCGAAAAACAAATGCATTCTCTTCACAGAATTATATAAAATTTACAATGCACGGGGCTCTGTCTAGTCTATTTACATCTTGTAAATTGAAAATTTAGAAATATTGTAAATTTGGGATGTTCTCACAAGTAGCGAAGCTTGGGAAGGTTGTTAAATGTCCCTCTGTCGATGTGCATCAGATTCCTTGTCTTCCCGATTGAGCTGCAAAACAATATTTGCATGAGTCAGTACTGGGCTGCAAAACAGTAACCATGGATTTAGTTGATTCAAAGAACGACTGAAAAGACTTACATTTCAGAGAGGTTGAGAAGATTGTTGAATGCTAATGTCTCAATGGTTTTCAGGGTTACACTCTCAGAAATCTCACTGCATGCAGCAGAAACAATGAAAGTTTATCTGAACAACATTTATTTTTGAAGTGTCACACTCAAAGAAAAGACAGACTGCTATCTATCTATCTA